ATAATATTTTCTTATTTGTGTAGTAGTACACAAAACGAAGAATATTTTTCTTTTTTGTTTAACTAAAGAATTTACTAGCAGTCTTAATGGATGAGAACGTTTGTACATTTAATAACTCAGGTTCATTATAGTCATATATTAGATCATGTATAACTTGGCACTGGAACAACGGGCATTTTATGTTTTAATATGAATACGTACTTAAGAACTATTAATAATTATAACGTCACGCTGAATATGGTATTTCCCAGTCCATATTCTTAAAATACCTAGAATTCTAAGACTCTAAAAATGATTTAATAGAATAAAGTAATATAAAAACAAAAATTCAAAAGATTCTAAGATTTCATGATTATCATCGTGGTGGTTTCATGATCAACTGTTTCTGTAGGCTTATAGAAATTTATTTCAGCGTTTAAGTAATAATAAATAAATCAAAGTGAAGAATAACTATGTAACAACTATTTTACATGAATTAGGAATTATTAAAGTAATTAAGTTGGTTGTTTTATGTATATTTATATAATTATCGCAGTTAAGTTCCACACTCGTGTTATTTCTACGATCTTAAAATTACTCAGGATACTCTGTAATTAAATAAGCAAAGAAAGTTAAATATTTGTCGTAGCCTAGAAGGTTTTTAGTCACATATTAAGGTGAAACATGTCTGAAACCGACTAAAAATACAGTTTTTAATTTTTTTAACAAAATCACACTAGATTGAAAAATTAAAAAAAATTTAGGGATAAAAAGTATAAAATACATTTATATATTACGTTATATTTTTTTCTGGAGTACCTTTTTTTTGTTTTTTTCTGTTTTAAATTTTATTTTAAATTCCTCCCACTTTTTTAGCTTTTTGAAATAAGAAGTAAAAGAATATCTGAAAATTTTATAATAGGGTTGGGAAAAATCTGTAGTTGAAAAAAAATTTACTTAAATTAAAAATCGACATGGCTACTATCAAAGTAAGAACAATCACAAATTTACTTTTTTAGGTTAAGTTGACAACTTTTGGGCTAAAAACTTACATATTACTACCATTTTCATGCTGCTTATAAGATCTTTTTGCCTAGATTCCGTTTAAGGTAACTCTTACTATCTTGTCTGGATAGGCCCTTTAACTATTAACAAAAAAATATTTTAAACGCTTATCAATGGAAAGTTGATAAAGTCATGGGAAATCCTTTATTATCTCTGAAATTATTTTTACTGCATTAAAAAGTTGTTAAAACCGTATTTTAATACAAACTAGAGCAGTATTTTATGAAGAGGAACAAGACTTTGGAAATTGCTAGTGTTTCATATGAGAATTACTTTTAGTTATTTTTGTATTGAGCAAAGACTTTAAAGTTATAGTATGGATTTGTTATTGTTCTAAATTGTAAATTAACTTCTGAACTTTGCATCATTCCACGATTCTTATCTATTACAAATATATTGAGAAAATATTCCACAATTTCTTCAATAAACTAAGGATGTACATTGTAATCTGGTTTATCTTAATTTTCGTTGTACTTGACAGGCCTAACTAAACGCTGTTCTGATATTTTTTTCAAATAAATGTTAAATTAAGCATAAGACAAAAAATATTAGGTTATACTTTCTTCTTTGTAGAATCAAAGGTATCTACCTTTCTATATTCTTTGATTATATCTATAATCACATAGAAGTCGATTAAAACATACAGAAATACTGATGTGATAAAATAAATATATTGTGTAAAGAGTTTTGCATTAACGTTATTTTTACTGCTTTCAAATTTCATTAATAGTTTTTTAAACAAATTTTTGGCTCACGTATGAGAAATCCTATGAGTTAAGTTTTGTGTCACTTGACCATGAGACACTAAAAAGAATTTCACTCTTACATACTAAGTTTTAGTATTTTATTTATTCTACGTTACATAGACGTTCTATTACCATGTGTTGCTTATAATTCTACAAAGAAAACCCTGAGAACTTACAATAATTTTACATGAATATGAAGTTAACAGTTAAAAAAATAAGTATCCACCAAATGAGTTTTCTTGGTTTAAGACATATTATAGACGATAACTCAATTATTACGAACTGATACGAAAAATTCTACTACCTCTAATAATTTACTAGTTTTATGGTTATTCAAGAAATGTAATGCTACAACTAGAAGAACTTTGAGTAATAATCACATAAAAATAATGTTTGTCTGTAGTGGTATGTTATTGACGTTCATAAAACAAAAAAAAGGTTTAAATTAACAGTATGGATAAATAATACATTATACGTCCAATAAACTGTAATCATTACGAGTTGCTTTATGCATGCCAGCCACTAAAATGTTTGAGAACCATAATTAAGAAACAAAACGTGACTGTAAAAAAAAAAATTGATTGTCGTCTTATAAAAACTTGTTATTTTTTAAATTTTGACAGCGTAAAATTCCGAGATTCTAAGAATCATTACTTAAAATGATAACTGTCAACAATGTTACCTATCCAGTCTAAATCTTTAAATATAAATAGAATATGTGTGAGCAAACATACATAAGCAGTGCCTATATAAGAATTATATAAAAAAGTTTAACATTTCATTTTCCACTTTACCATCTTGCGTGCTTATTGTAGATTGCGTGATGATTGCAAGTATTAGTTATAATGTGCATTTTTTTAATAACTGTTACTGTCCTTAAAACAATTTATACATTAAGTTCTTACGATTTAGGCTTCGTACCTGATAAGGGCCTTGTTACCTGTTATAAATGTTGAAACCAAAATGTTGCTCCTTCTTGTAAATAACAACTTTATGATAGCATTGCCACTCAAGTCATTAATTTATTTATTTTTCGTAGTGAGTTTTCTGTACCAATAAAAAATAGTATACTGCAGGATAATTGAAATAATGACAAATTTCATTATTTAAGGTTTTTTTATTAAATGCATTCGTGATAAATACAAATATTTTCGTTATTGTTGACAAATATAACATCCTGGAACAAATTTCTAAAATCAATTAGACATACAATCAGTGACACTTAGTAATGCAAGCAAATAATATTTTCTTATTTGTGTAGTAGTACACAAAACGAAGAATATTTTTCTTTTTTGTTTAACTAAAGAATTTACTAGCAGTCTTAATGGATGAGAACGTTTGTACATTTAATAACTCAGGTTCATTATAGTCATATATTAGATCATGTATAACTTGGCACTGGAACAACGGGCATTTTATGTTTTATCACTGAACTTGAGTTTTTTAACAACGCTGTAGCAAAATAATTATCATCAGTCAGACTGGGAAGTTGTCTTCTCAGCTCATGTAATTCGTAGTTGTTGGTATTTCTTCTATTGGAACCCGAAACTATTGAGTGATGTTGAGAAGGTAAAGTAGATTCTTCAAGTATAAGAGCACAATGGCTATTAGTATCACTATCAACCCCACCCTCTTGTGTGTTATTTACTAATAAAGGATGCTTTGTGTTACTAATGTCTTCAGTGTGAGCCAATAAAGTCGATGTGCCTGAAAAAAGATTACCAAAAGTATATTAAATGTGTAATTACTACACTTTAATGGTTTTATATGAAACACCTTAGTGTAAGATACTCATTAAACGAATAATGGCTATATTTTTTCTGTTGTATAAAATAGTTTGAAAAATGTTTTAACCTCGACAGATATCATTAATAACTGTGATAAGAAAAGGTTTTTTATAAAATGTATATAAGTTCTTAATTTTATTATAAATTTTTAAGTAGAATGTTTTCAAAAACTATGGAAAAACTGTGCAAGTACACAGTTGTCCCACAACCCCCGCCCCTCCAAAATATCATTTTTAGCATTTTTCTAGCATTTTTCTAGCATTTTTCACAACAACTAATAGATTTAAAGTTAAAGACAAAGGGATGAGCTTAATTTGAGTAACCTTCACATTTTAACAAGAAAAAAAAGAAGATATTTATTTTACTGGCAAAATAACGATACTGGCGAGTTTCACTGAATAAAGATTTTGTAAGCTTGTTTATTGTTTCTTGACTGAGTATATTTTTACCACATGATAGTCTTATTTATATTTAATAGCACTTTTAATGAACTTATTAGGGATCAAAATAACACCGTTTTAGTGCAATATATTAATGTTGATTTGAAAATTTGCTAACATATTATGGACAAAATGGTGTTGTCATAAACTTGTCCAATAAAACAAAGTTTAATTGACTAAAAAATATATAACGATTGAAAAAGTGCAGGTCAGAATAACATTTTCTTTTAATACTTAAAGAAGGTTAAAATTTTCTACACCTATGAAACTAAAAAAAATCAGAGTTGTAGGGGTAAGATGTTTTGTGAGAGAAACAAATTATGTTATAATTTGTGTCTAGAAATGCTTTCTTACTGCATATAGGACGTAAGAATAAAATTTTGTAAAGTGTATCTGTTCATGTATTTTGACTTACTTTTACATTACATTAAATTTGAAGTTTTATAATAAAAATATACTTCCAAGGATTAAAAAGTACTTTGATTTTTTTTTATTTTTTTTTTTTTTTCAAGTCTTACTTGTAGTTAGAACTTTGGTTTCCTGTTAAAAGGTTCTAACATTACGTTTTTTTATCAAAAATGCTATTGATGCCACTCACAAGTTCTAGCTAGATTTTACTTGTATAAAAAAGCAGACGCAATATTCGTATGATTATTACTACATTCTGAAAGTACATGAACATTAGCTGAACCAAGTGACAATTTATAGGTATCAATATCAGAGCTTCCACCACTAATATTAACTGTGAGAAATACTTTCAACATGCTGATACAACTGTTCCTGAAAATAAATAAAAATGAGATGTTCACATGATTTTAGTATTGTAGAACGGAAGCAGTACTTGTTGACGACATAGAAACGATTATTTATTACAAAAATGAGACTGTCAGTTAACATCGTATGTAACAATGTTCATCCTAAAACCGTATTACATTTCTTTCTAGGCTTCTTGAACTACTCTCCGCCAATTTTTAGCCACACGTTATCATTTTTTGCACCAATTTCATAATTGTCTTATCTATAAATTTTGTTAATACATTTCTACATCACAGTTGAGGTGGTATTTTAGCTTGCTGGTTTTTTCTCTAAAATTTTTAAGAAGTTTATCCATCGCTTTATTGAATATATATATACAAGAACAGGACATAATATTCTTATACTTAATCAAAATATAACGAATAAACTTGAAAATATTTAAACCGCAGACTTCGCTCGTAGCTTAATTTACCAAAAGAAAACAGTAATTTTATTACCTTTTTTTCGAAATACGTCAAATATTGTAATAAATTTAACGCTCTTGTGTAGAACTTAGATTATGCGCAATCTTGGCTAGAAATTAAAAAAAAAAGTGTTGAATAAAAACCTTATATGATTCCAAAACTTTAATGTAAATTGTGCAACATCAGTAATTCTTTACCAATGCGTATTAGTTATTATTCGTATTGTTGCTTAAAGTGCTGTGCCTAATCAGAGTTAAACCAATAAGGAGCGCATTCACGTACACTAAATAGTTAATAGCCACGCTTTGTATACTCACATTGAACCAGCAGCTCGCTGCTGCTGTGACTCGACAGCTCACCTCATACGCCCGTTTGATAAGTAGTACTGTAGTCTTATTTACCGTATTCACGTGTCTCACAATATGTAACACTTAATTATTACTACATGCGAGTATATTTATTTTGCTTTATATTAAGTGCACACCCATTATACTACTAATTTTGTGAGAAAAGGGGGTGATTTTTTTGTTACTTATTAAATATAAGGCTTATCGTTAAAAGTGTGGGTTGTTCGCTTTGTCTTAAGCCTTCTATCTCACCTCTCCTCTTTACCTCTTCCATAAGGCCGAGATAATTAAAATTTAGTCCACAAAAATCAAATCAATTTTGAACATAGTCTTTTGAGCCAAATAGTGAGAGGTGGAAGTGTGATAGGCATTTTGTATGACTCATGTGCTTTAACTACACGTGACCGTTTTTTTCTGTATATTGGATTTCTTGGTCTTTTTTTTTCGGGCATCGAGGGGAAAGTGGTCAGCACACTGAAATGTTGTCTGGGCGCATACACACCTCATAGTTCTTGGTCTTGCTCTTCTCTATTGCATGTGGGCTGGCTGCACAACACCACATCTTGAGGCGGGTTTTCTTTTTGTGTGCTGTGCTGCTGTTGTGGCTTACCTTGTGGGCCATTGTAACCAGTATCACTTCTTTAATTAGCCATTTTGACTCATTGGCCGCAACCATTGGAACCGCTGCTGGCTCCTGCTAAGTCCTTGAAGAGTTGTGTTTACTGCTGCCTGCTTCCGCTTCCGGCCTTTATTCTTGGCTCCGCTTCAATTGTGCTTGCTCTGTGGGCTGCTTCGTTTGCTGCGTGCTGCTACTTGTTTCTGCAGGTCTTGATCCTCAGCACCACTGACGTGTGCTCGCTCTGCTGGCCGCTTTTTCTGCTGCGTGCTGCTGCTGCTTGTTTTTGCAGGCTTTTTTTCTTTAGTGCTACTGCTGTGTGCTTGCTCTGAGGGCCACTTCGTCGGCTGCGTGTTGCTAATTGTAGTTTAGCCTTTTTTTAATATGGCTGAAATTCATACCGACTATTGGACTTTCAATCATTTGTTTATATATATTAAATATGAGGGAAAAGTCTGTTCTGTATTGTAATATTTTCATACTGACTTAGTTATAAGCTTCTCCTAATATTAAGATCCTTTACAACATTCTGTAATTGACTAACTTTACTCGTGATACTCAGATCTTGCTTTCTTTAAATAGTTACAGTTTATTTTTGCATAAATTTCTGATGCAATTACAATGGATACTCATCATAAACAGCAAATTAAGGCATACCAAGAAATTAGAAATGCTTTTTCCAGCTTTAAGAAATTTGGTCAAACTAGAATGACCAGGGGACAGACTGAGGCTGCTAATGGCTCTTGATGTTTGGTAAGAGCCATGATATATCAATGTTCCCTGAGTTGCTTATCAAGTCACTCTGTGACCTGCTTCAGTTGAAGCAAAGATTAGTTAATACAACCTTGTTAGCAGTGGGTGGAGTCGTCTCCATGGTTACCAGCAAGTCTGTCATCTTTCGATTAAGTACTCGTTTTGAGTCAAGTTTTGCACATTTTGTTAATGCCTCGATTGTGCCTAAGATTTTTTTTTGCTGGCCATAAGTACGTAGTTCTCTCGAAAAAATTTAATCACTTGATCATGGCTAATCCAGAGTTGGGCAGGAAGTTCTTGAACTTTCACTCAATTATTTTATTGCAGGAGCTTTACAAATTTATTAGATTCTTTCTCGTCAAATACTATTTTATTTTGGATCCAACCAGAATTCTCTTGTGATGGTTAATGTTGAACATACTAAAAAAAAACATATTAGTCAAAAACTTCGTTGACATTAAACCGTTGCAGAACAATCCTGTATATTTATGGTTTAATTTAATGAATGTGCTCTTTTAACTTATTGGGCTTCCAACTAAATAGCCAATCTTGAAGGCTTACAGGTTCTCCAAAAAGCATGAGGCTACTCCGTAAGTTCAGTGGCATTATGTTATATAAACCAGAGTCCAGCAGATGTGGCTTCGAGAGGTATAGTGCATAGCCAGCTGCTTACCCAAAAATTGTGGTTTCATGGTTCACAAAATCTTTACGAGCCCTTGCCATTAAAGCCTTACAATTTCGGTGATTGAACCACCTTCTATAAATGTCAATATTTCTAAGTCATCTGAAAATAGTTCTGGGAATCTTGTAAATAATAGTCATTTTATGTAACGTTGACACACAGCCCTAAGCAGTAACAAATCTTAGATTCATCTGTAGCTGCAAATCTTTACGGGCTAGTTTACAGTTTATAGACCCTTCTACTTTCATTGAAGTAGATTAAACCAACCTTAAGCATGCAGAGCTTGATTGTGTAAGACTGTGTCTCGTTTATTTGAATCAACAGTATCATTTCTCTTCGGAAATGAGAGTTATAGCTCAGATTTAAGATTTTTTTGTGGAAGATAGCTTACAACTACCTCAACATATCCGTTTGCTGAGTCTCATGTCATTTCTTAAATATGACTAAATACGAGTTGTTAAAAGATTGAGTAAAACATTACTTTATGATAGTGCTAAGCATCCTTTAATTTTTGTGGATAGGGATTGGTTAATATTTTTACTCACTAATTATTGTCAAAGAATGGCTTTGCATGGGAGGAGTACATTTGATACTTATCACACTCCACTAAACTTTTTGGATTGTGCATCATAGATAAGTTGTAAGGTCAGAGCTCGCTCACTTTATTCCTAGTAAAGAATATTTTTCTAATACTAAGAGTTAATTAATGAGTGATTTTTCCAACTCTCCTATATCTCTCTGTTTAACCTTCTAAGAAACTGGTGTAAATTATGCAGTCTTATTTCCTGTAAGCTTGTCAAGGTATGAAGATAGAGGTATCTGGGAGGGATTTATAGCTGTTCTTGTGTGCGTGATTACTGGT